GTCTTTTACAGCTTGAAGTGCACTATTACCTATCTCGAAGCGCTGCTCTCTTCCGAGGTTGTTGTACATTACTTTCGTTTTCTGCAGATTAATTTTGAGACCCACCTTTCTGCTCTCCTTGTCTAACTCTGTAATCATGTGTTGCAATTCGTCCCCTGAGTTACTCAGCAATGCAATGTCATCGGCGAAGTGCAGGTTACTAAGGTACTCTCCATTAACTCTTATCCCTAACTGTTCCCATTCTAGGTTTCTGAAAACCTCCTGTAAGCACGCAGTGAATAGCATTGGGGAGATTGTGTCCCCCTGCCTTACACCCTTCTTGATTGGTATTTTGTTGCTTTCTTTACGAAGCACTATGGTAGCAGTTCATGTCCTGTAGATTTCTTCCAGGTTGTTAATATATACTTCATCGATGCCCGGATTCCTCGTTGTCTGCATGACAACTGATATTTCTACAGAATCTAACGCCTTCTGTTAATCTATGAAGGCTATGTATAGTCGTTGGTTATATTCTGAGCATTTCTCTATTACCTGATCGATAGTATGAATGTAGTCGATTGTAGAGTAGCCTGTTCAAAATCCTCCGCGTTCCTTTGGTTGATTAAATTCTAATGTTTGTTTTCGTTACTCTGTTAGCAATTACCTTTGTAAATAGCTTGTATACTACAGAGAGCAAGCTGATCAGCCTGTAATTCTTCAAGCCCTTGTCATCTCCTTTCTTATGTATTAAGATGATGTTAGCATTCTTCCAAGACTATGGTACTCTCCCCGTCAGGAGACACCTCGTAAACAGGGTGGCTAGTTTTTCTAACACAATCTGTCCTCCATCTTTCAGTAGATCTGATGTTACCTGATCCTCACCAGCAGCTTTTCCTCTTTGCATGCTCTCCAAAGCTTTTCTGACTTCTTCTATCATTACTGGTGGGGTGTCATCTAGGTTACTGCTAGTTCTTATAGTATTAAGGTCGTGGTTGTCTCGGCTACTATACAGATCTCTGTAAAACTCCTCCGCTATTTTAACTATCCTATCCATATTGGTATTTATTTTGCCTTCTTTGTCCTTTAGTGCATACATCCGACTTTCGCCCATCCCAAGTTTCCTCTTCACTGCTTTGACGCTTCCTCCGTTTTTCAGAGCGTGTTCAATTCTCTCCATGTTACACCTTCTTACATCGCATATCTTACGCCTATTAATCAACTTCGAAAGCTCTGCCAGTTCTATTTTGTCTGTTGTACTTGAGACTTCAATGATTTGACACTTCTTAACGAGATTCTTTGTTTCCTGGGAAAGCTTGCCAGTGTCCTGTCTAACTACCCTGCCTCCAACTTCCACTGCACACTGTATCTACGCTAAGGTTGGTTTCCCACTAAGAGCAGAGTACCTGTGAATTCTACTAGTAGCTCTCCTCTGGCGTTTCTAGTACCGATGCCATAATCTCCTACTGCCTGGTCTCCAGCCTGCTTCTTCACTACCTTTGCATTAAAGTCTCCCATCAGTATAGTATACTGTGTTTTTACCTTACTCATTGCCGATTCCACGTCTTCATAGAAGCTTTCAACTGAAGCGTCATCATGGCTGGATGTAGGCGCGTAAGCCTGTACTATCGTTATCTTGTATCTTTTATTCAGTTTAATTACAATACCTACCACCCTTTAATTAATGCTATAGTATTTCTCTATGTTGCCAGCTATGTTTCTGTGAATCAGGAACCACACTCCCAGTTCTCTTCTGTCAGCCAAGCCCCGATAGCAAAGGACGTGCCCATTCTGTAGCTCCGTATATGCCTCATCTGTCCTCCTAACATCACTGAGCCCTATTATATCCCATTTAACACCCTCTAGCTCCTCGAATAGTACAGCTAGGCTTCCCTCACTAGATAAGGTTCTAGCTTTAAACGTTGCCAATTTCAGGTTCCAATGGCGGCCAGTCTGGATCCAGAGATTCTTAACACCCTCTGCTGCATTGCAGCTCTGACCGCCGCCGCGGTCAGTTGCTTTGTAGCTGCTGGGGACTGAGGGCTGTGAGTTAATTGATGTATGCATGTGGGAGGTAGTGGCCAGATACTGCACCAGGGTGGCCGATCCTTCTCTGGTGAGGGAGTGCATTACCGGCGGTGGTAACCGGTGAGGCCGCACCCCAGGCCTCTTAATGCAGTTCTATCAACACGCGGATTTTTTTTTTAATCCGGTTGGGAACTGAGCGGCACCGGGATTTGAACCACAGACCTTTCGCATGCGAGGCGGATGCTCTAACCACTACGCCATCGCCGCTCTCTTCACGACCATAAAAGAGTAGCTGCCAAACCAGTAGGCACCACCAGTTATGAACTTATGAATAAATTGGCAAATATTTATTGTTCTGTTGCCTAAGTTTATAAAGAATATCTCGTAGAACCGGGTGTAAAAGACCCTTTAAATGGTATTTTTTGTGAACTCTCCAAGCAGGTCAAATTCATCAGGTATATTACATGAAGAAGCAGAGCAAATCACATGCACAGTTCAAGAAACTTGGCTATGTGCCATTAACCATCGCCGGTAACCAAACAGACCTGGCTGCATGCAAAAAGCTACAACTACAATTGTTTTAGAGGGAACAGATTTTATAGTTCTGTTTGTCAAAGCTATTCCGATGCTTTTGGTAGCATGTTTAGAAAAAAACACACTAAATAGAGGTTCTTGGTGCTGTGTGTCTATGAAACATTGCCTCCTCATTAAAAAGTCTTTCTTTAAACTCTAAAAGATCGCTTATGTAAGAGAGTTTTGTGTGCTCATGTAACATCTTTTCCACGCCAGTGGTGGTACTAGCTTTTCCAGTGGTAGGTTTCATGCTCACTATTGCAGTTAAATAGTATGTGCACTACAATCTCACCGGTATTGAGAGGTAATATTGAAAGTTGGCTGTTATATATTTAGCGACAACTTATCTTGATGTTGGAGTACAGGCTATTGAGGTGGAGCTTCTGCACATTTGTGTTTCTCTACAAGTTAGGCAGTTTTCGGGTGAGGGAAAATTCTAGATGCCTAAAACACCACAAGAGCAACAGAGAAGCACACGGTGTGCTTCTTTGTTCTTGTGGTGTTTTAGGCATCTAGAATTTTCCCTTATACTTATGTACCAACTAGACTAGCCTCATTGATTTGATTGATATGTCGGGTTTAACGTCCCAAAACCACTATATGATTATGAGAGACACCGTAGTGGAGGGCTCCGGAAATTTCAACCGCCTGAGGTTCTTTAACGTGCACCTAAATCTGAGTACATAGGCCTACAACATTTCCGCCTCCTTCGTAGACTAGCCTCAAGTACTTCTATGTTTTCAGATGATTTTGGTTTTGCTCGCTCACGTCGTTAAGGCCTATGGCAGTGCACACCAGACTACACAAAGGGACGACACAAGTGTCGAGTGTCGTCTCTTTGTGTGTGTGTTCGTTCTGTAACCTGGTGTGCGCTGCCATATGCCATAATTGCTTATCAACTAGCCCGCAAGTACGTCTTATGCATTGTTAACAAATTTTCAAAATTATATACATAAAAATGTGAATGGGACAAACATTTTAATGGTTCATTCTACAATTCAGTGCAGTATATTACGAGTATATTTTTCTTCAAGAAGTAAAAAGCGCGTTTGTAGCCACACACTGAGCTACTACTTCAAGGACGCCAAGTTTGCTTTGGAAAATGGGTGTGTTGAAAAGGTGGGGCTAAGAAAAAAAAAGGGGGGGAGGCATTCTTGCAAAGCGAATAATAACAGCATTTTACATATTACTTCCAGTGATGGAAGTGCTGCTTCAATTGCTCCAAACTGCTCCAAAAGAGAATTGCTGCTCAAAGCAGTAATTTTTTAGTAACTGCTCCAAACCTGCTCTGAAATGACACTGAGAAAACGAGAATGACAAACTTCTACTGTTTGAAAGAGATTAAAAAGAATCTGAGTACTACCATCCTAGTGTGCTACTATCGTGCAGTATTATCAGGTCTGATCTCGTTTGTGTGGCGAGAATTGGCATATTAAGCATATAGCTCATTTAGCTGTTTTCTTTTTCTCAGCTTGACATGCAGGCTAGTGTGGTGCAATGTGAAAATGAGCACGATTCCTTTCATCTCATACTGATTATATACTTCTTTTTTGGCATTAGTTATATGGTATTGTGGTTACTTCTAAAATGTGGCACTCAGCTTTTTCTGGTTCGATTTGATTTCTGCCACAAATACTGGTATTTCAAATAGTAGCTCATTTCACAGCTCATTTTTGACAACCTTTTATTGTTTGCTTCATGAAATTTGCATTTACTATTGTCTGTTAAATATATTTCGTAAGAAATATTAACATTAGGGAGATGTTTTGACAACACTCTGAACTCCTAGTAATGTATGGCAAATTTAATATCTACTCCGAAAACTTCAATAGCTGCTCTAAGCTAGCATTATTTTCTGCTCTGAAAATGCTTATGGCTGCTCCAAAGCAGTACTTTTCCTGCTCCAAAGTATGCTCCAGAAAGTGAAAAGGCGCTTCCCTCACTGTACTTCGTGCAACTGTTTAAATCTCATAATAATTAAAACAATTTATTTCAGCAAAGCAAATGAGAAAATTACCAGTAAACTTGGTACTTTTTTTTGCATGGTAGCAGGCATGCACTTTATTTCTGTAGCTTCCACAATGCTGTCAAGTCAGTGAGTATAGATGTGTTACACAGTAGCTACAGATAGCACCCTGAGAGCATGAAGCTGCACCTTCAGAAGTGCTTGAAACTTTTTTTAAAGCATTGTTGAGCTTGGGGACGTAAGAGCACATTAACCCATTGTGTGACTGTGGAACACATATGTCCCACTTTTTCGTCAGAATGAATGAATGAATAAACTTTATTTAAAGTCCGGCAGTTTTCACGGGGCGAGGAGAAGAAGGGATTAACTTCTGTCCCTTCCCACTTTCCGTTGATTATGATGGCGGTGCCTGGTTAACCTCCCTGCCTTCCCTCTTGTTCTTTATCCCCTTAGGTGACCGCTCAAAGTCCTTGGACTTGGGTGGCATCTTCAGCTTGCCGGATGGCCCAAAGCTGGTCGGCCAGCTCTTCGCTGATGAGTGCCGCCTCCCAGCCGAAGCGCAGCTGACGCCGCCGATCGGCAATATAGTGACCGCAGCCGTGGTAGAGGCCGGCCCTTGCCCTCGCGCAGTGGTAGCAGTAGCATTTGACCTCAGAGTTCGTCCCTGCCTAACATGCGTCGTGAAGGGAGCGGCGGCAGAGACGTTAACTTTTCCAGCACACTCCCAAAGCATGTGCCGCAGTGTGGCCCTTTCCCCGCGCACTTTACACGCGTCCGTCGTGTATAGGTGAGGATAACACAGGCATAGGATTGCCGGGCTGGGGTTCGTGTTTGTCTGAAATAACCTCAGAGTTACGACCTGTCTTTTGTTCAATTTGTTGTGTGGTGGTGGGTATTTGTGTCTGTTTAGTCTGTAATGTTGTGCAATGTCGTTAAATGTGGCCAGGCGATCACCCCACGACCATTCCCGTTGTTGTTGTGTGGATTTTTTCCCACATCATCCATTGCAATTAGCACAATGTTAAATCACTCATATCATGCTTAAGTCTTCGTAATCTTTAGAAAAATGCTTTTACAATGCTTTCAAAGGGTCAATGTAGTGTTACAGTGGCGTTGTATTTCGATCAGTTTTTTATGATGGCGCTGAATTTTTCTATTCCTGCAGACTTAAAGGCACATTAACCCTTTGTGCAACTGCGGAACGCATACTTCCGACTTTTCTGTCAGCAAGAAACCTATCAATAAAAATGCTGCATGAGTTCCTCTTTTTTTTGGTTTTTCAGAGAGGCTATGTTAGCTTCCAGTCATCATGAATTTTTGTAAAGTTGCATAACAACTTGACTGATAAATGCATCGGAACGATCCCCTGCGAAACTGTCCCGCTCATTCCTCAGCGCGATTGCGGATATTGATGCTTCAAAATATTTTCTTGATATCGTATGCCTCTTGAAAGTTAGGCATACGTTCAGGGACATCTGTACTCAACAATTTCAACACCATAAGCAAAGACAGCCAAATGGACAAAAAAAGTGGTTGATGTATGCAGTGAAGTAAATGTAAGCCTCACAGGAACAGACCAGAGGGCTTTAAGGCAAGGTTGATAAGAGGCACAACTGTAGGTGGTGTTCTGTTTAAATGACCACACAACTTTCCTCTTCACAACTTGAGAAGTGATATTCTTTGCCACTTGCCTCAACCTTTTTATCCCAAACTACCCATTGACACAATCGCGAGATGGTGCCTTCATGAGACAGTGTTTTCCCGCTTTTTGAAAACACTCTCACAAGTCACTGGGACATATATGTCCCACTTTTTTTTCTCTGTAAGCTACTGGCATGATTTTGATGAAATGTTTAATATTTAATGAAGCAGATCAACGTCATTCTAAAAAGCAGAAGTTACCACTCTCGGGCAGAATAGACAGCAACGATTTCTTGTAATTTGTAGTTTATATCAATATACCGCATCGTGTCAGAACTATAGGAGTACTTATGTAGGGCTAAATTGACAGGGTGTAAGAGTAGACTTGTTGGCGATACATCAATAAAACGTGTGGTGCACAAAAAAGACAATAAGAAAGAGGATGGGATGATGCGCTGTCCCCTGCACCGTCCTGTTGTCTTTCTTAGCCCTGTTGTGCCTCGCCCAAGTTCCACGTGGTCTTCGCGGCCTGCTGGCACCTGGCAGCTGTTGATGAGTCAACCCTGCACCGGGACGGCGACGGACGCGGACAATCTGGAAAAACCACGTCGCCGGCTCCTCTTGACACAAAAGTCGTTGGCCAAGCTTTTGTCAGCCGCCGAGAGCAACACTCCGAAGCAGCGTCGACCCAGCAGCTGTACGGGGTATTCTGCCTTGCTTGAGTCAACCTGGCTGCATCAGGGAGCGACTTTGCGCATGGGATTCCACGTCATCTCGCTGTGGTGCCACGCTGCCGCGTGGGGTCTCCCTCACCAAACAGCGAACTGGGCATATCTTGCCCCTTTCCTAGGTTCAGAGGGAGGCGGTGTTTGGCTTTCCCTCTTCGGGGACGGAGAGGAAGACGACGATCTCATTGGAGTATCCTGCGCATAAATTTTCTTTGCAAGGGATCTTGGGAAGGCGGACGATGTATAAAAACGCTAGCGCAGAGGCGCTCGTGTGTGATTCTCTTTCATGTTGTACCACGCTACCATGTAAATACTGTATATAAACATTTTTTTTCTCCTTCTCCGGCTTCTCTACTCGTCCTCTCCGGGACTCGGATGGCCCGAGTCCGCACCACGCTACCCAAAGGCGCAACAGTGGCTGGCAGCTTATGGGATTCGCCTGCGTCGGCTGCATCGAAGTGGTGAGTGCCGCGTGTTTGCTCTTCTTTTCGCCAGACTCGTTAGCGCAGATGGTCGGTAACGTGGTAGGGTGATTTTGGTAAATTTTGATTCGCAGACCAAGAATTGGGTGGCTCGTGGGCAAAATTACCTTAGAAGAGAAACGGTGTGCATATCTAAGATGGAGAAGTTTAAGGTCCAAGAACTCCTCGAAATTTGTCAGGAGCTGAATATTTCGGTCGGCTCGGTTAAAAGAAAACAACAAATTTTGGAGCACTTGGGAAAAGAGGAAGTGAGTTTAGAAGAGGCCATTGAGGCCAGAGAAACCATTTTGGCAAAGAAAGAGGAGCGTGAGCGCTTAGCCCGTGAACAAAGAGAGGAGGAAATAAGGAGGGATCGCGAGGATAAAGAACATGAAATCCGTCTGAAAGAACTGGAGCTTCGTATGTCCGTGGGAAATCAAAATTCAGGGGGTGGAGAATCAAAGATAAAGGATCTAATCCACACCTTCAAGGCGGGTGACGACATTGCATTATACCTCGTGCATTTTGAGCGAGCATGCGAAAATGCAGGGTTTAGTAGGGAGACTTGGCCACAAAAACTGATATGCGTACTACCAGGCGAAGTGTCCGATGTTATCGCAAGAATGAATAAAGAGGACTCCGAGGTGTATGACAGGGTAAAGGCTGCATTGCTACGAAAATGTCGCCTATCGACAGAGGCTTTCCGCCTGCGGTTCAGGCACTCTAAGAGGGGCAACGAATCTCATTCAGACTATGCCTACCAAATTAGAGCCAACTTTGAAGAGTGGCTCAAAAGCGCGCAAGTCTATGGCAACCATGACAAGGTCATTGAGTTGATGGTACTTGAGCAGTTTTACCGGGGAATTCCCGAGGAGGTAAGGCTTTGGGTGCAGGATAGGATGAAAGACGTAGACATGAACAGGGCAGCAGAACTCGCCGAAGATTACTGCTCACGCCGTAGTCTCCGCAATACACCACGAACTTCGGAAAAAAATGAAAAGGTAGAAAGCTGGTCGGGAAACCAGGGACGCAAGAGGTTTGCAAGAAATAACTGGAAACCCGAAAATTCCAAGTTATTAGACAATCAGCAGGGAAAGGACAGTGAGGGGACTAAGGCGGCACCTTCATCAGGTTCAAAGGCGCCTGGTGACATAGCGCATGCGTTAGAAGCGCGGAAGCCAGTTGTTTGCTACAGCTGCGGAGAAAAGGGCCACATGGCCAGGAGCTGTAAGGGGCACATGGCATTTGCCACAATTCAGGAGTCAGAGGATAGCTTAAAGCTGTTGAAGCCTTACATGAGGACACTCTCAGTGAACGGCCGAATGTGTAGGGTATTGAGGGACTCGGCGGCCACAATGGATGTAGCGCATCCAAGTTGCGTATCTTCCGAAGACTATATAGGAGAGTGTGCCTGGATTCGGCAAGTGGCAGAAAAGCAAAGCGTCTGCCTACCGATAGCGAGGGTTGTAATCGAGGGCCCTTTCGGCCAATTGTGTACGGAAGCAGCAATTTCAGCCAACCTCCCGGAGCACTTCCCTTACCTATTTTCAAATAAGTCTGAGGAAATGTTAAAAACACGTGGAGAATCATTTGCCACCGAAATAGCTTGCATGGCCCTTACCCGTTCGAAGGCGCGCGAGCTGACGCAACAGCTGAGCAGCTCACCCTCTGGGGAACAGACGTCCGAGGGCAGTGTAGGAAAACCTGAGGTAGTTGCGACGGAAAATGAGTCTGCCATGCGAGTTGTCGAGACGGAAACTGGGGCTATGGTCGACAACAGCGAGGAAATATCTCTAACGCCCGACAACGAGGACTTGGTGACAGGCTCGGTGTTAACACCCGCGTCCACCAGTTGGTGTCAGCTAGCCAGAACCGACCGTGCAACGCTAGTGGTCGATCAAAAGGCGGATCTCGCACTCTCTATGCTGCTAGATGCCATACATAAGGAAGGTAACTCTAGGAAGAACGTTTCGTTCTACACCCAAAACGAGGTGTTGCATCGCAGGTATGAGAACGCTAAAGGGCGGGTCTACAACCAAGTGGTAGTTCCACTAAAATACCGGCGGAACATTCTCGACCTGGCCCACAGCAACGCCTGGGCGGGCCACTTAGGTATAAAGAAAACGAAAGCTAAGCTGGCTCAGGAGTTCTACTGGCCCGGGTGCTGGAAGGATGTAGAGATGTTTGTCCGTGGATGCGACACTTGTCAGCGGATAGGAAAATCAACAGACAAATGGAAGGCACCAATGAAACTAGTGCCAATAGTCACAGAACCCTTCCGTCGGCTCGTGATTGACATCGTGGGGCCTCTGCCTCCATCTAAATCAGGATATCGGTACGTCCTGACCGCGCTGTGCGTTGCCACCAAGTTCCCGGAGGCAATCGCACTGAAAGAGTTGAGTTCAGTATGCGTGGTGGACGCATTGTTGTCTATTTTTTCTCGGGTGGGTTTTCCCTCGGAGATACAGTGTGACAACGGAAGTGTGTTCACAAGCTGCCTTACGACTACATTCCTAGAACGCTGCGGGATAAAATCGCGCATAGCTCTATTCACCATCCACAGTCGAACCCTGTGGAACGCATGCACTCGGTCATGAAACGCGTTTTGCGAGCTTTGTGCTTTGAGCATAAAAGTGACTGGGAGGGGTGTATACCAGCTGCGATGTTTTCTCTGAGGTCGGCCCCACACGAGAGTACGGGTTTTAGTCCGGCTGAACTTGTCTACGGCAGGAACTTGAGAGGTCCGCTGCACTTAATACGAGAGTCATGGACTGGATATGGGGAGGACCCTAATGTAGTTTCCTATGTACTGGATTTATTGGGGCGACTGGGGACTACACGCGAAGTGGTGGAGAGCAACATGCGCGCAGCACAGGCGCTTTCCAAGGCCCGTTACGATAAGTCAGCTCGAAAGCGAGTCTTTAGAGTGGGCGATGAGGTGATGCTGTTGTGCCCTTCAAGAAAAAACAAGCTGGACGTACAATGGGAGGGACCAGCGACAGTGTTGTCAGTGCTTTCAGACACCAACTACGAGGTAAAGTGGGGCCGGAAATGCCCCAAAGTGTATCACAGTAACCTAATGAAACCCTACATGCGACGAAAAGCAGTAGTAAACCTTGCACTCAATGTTCCTGAGGATGAGGGCGCGGAAATCCTTTGTCTTTCCGATGGCACGGTCAGCAGCACATTGTCCGATAGGGTAGACACAGGGAACACCCTAAGTAAGGCTCAAGAGGAAGATTTAGAGCTTTTAGTACAGGAATTCGCTACCGTTTTCTCCGAGAAGCCAGGCAAAACGGATGTGATTAAGCACGACATTGAGCTGACGGTTAACAAGCCGATCAGCTGTAAGCCGTATCGGGTGTCACCTAGACAGAGAGAGATACTAGAGGCCGAAATTCGCCGCATGATCGACCTAGGTGTTATCATCGAAGCAGACAGTGATTTCACCTCGCCTTTGATTTTGGTTGAGATTCCGGGCCGTGATCCAAGGCCATGCGTGGACTATCGCCGCCTGAACTCTGTAACAGTCGACCAGACTTACCCTATTCCTAACATTGAAGAGAGGGTAGAGACAGTGTCTAAGGCGAAATACATTTCTACGTTAGACCTTGTTAGGGGGTATTGGCAGGTCCCTTTGACAGAGCGCGCGAGTCGATACGCTGCTTTTATCTCACCCCTGGGCACTTTTCGTCCTTTGATGATGAGCTTTGGGCTCAAGAACGCGCCGTATTGTTTCAGCCGCCTGATGGATAAGGTTCTCCACGGGCTCGAGAAATTTGCGCTGCCTTACCTAGACGATGTGGCGATATTTTCGGACAAATGGGAAGACCATGTTGAACACCTTCGGATGGTTTTGGAACGGGTCAAAAATGCAGGTCTTACGGTAAAGAGAGAGAAATGTCATTTGGGCTGTGCTGAAGTAAGCTATTTAGGGCACATTGTAGGAAATGGGCGTCGTCGACCGTCCGAACTCAAGGTAGCCGCGGTGGTCGGTTATCGTCGTCCCAGCACTAAGACCGAGATGAGAGCATTCCTCGGCCTCACAGGTTACTATCAGCATTACGTCCCGAATTACTCCGAGATTGCCAGCCCTTTGACAGATAGTTTACGCAAGACCGAACCTGTGAACATTCCATGGGACTCTAAAAAGGAAGACGCTTTTCAGAAGCTGAAGCACGCATTGAGTGAGAAACCCGTCTTGAGGGCACCGGATTTTGCAAAACCTTTCACTATTCAGTGTGATGCAAGCGAACGCGGTTTAGGAGCAGTGCTATGTCAGACGGACCAGAGTGGAGAGGAGCGGCCGGTTTTGTATTTGAGTCGCAAATTGAGCAGCAGGGAAGAGGCTTATAGCACTTCGGAAAAAGAATGTGCTTGCATTGTTTGGGCCGTACGAAAACTAGGCTGCTATGTTGCTGGCTCTAAGTTTATTATAGAAACTGATCACTCTCCACTAACCTGGTTACACCAAATGTCACCTAAGAATGGTCGTTTGCTCAGATGGAGCATAGCACTGCAGCAGCACAATTTCGAGGTGCGCTACAAGAGAGGTGGCCTTCATACAAATGCAGACGCCCTAAGTCGAGCGTTTTGACTCGTCAAAAGACGCGGAAGGTTTGTTTGATTTTTTTGTTTACCTTTACCTAGTTTATGTGTACTTTTTTTTTCAATGTGTTACAGTGAGGGCGTAGAGAAATTTTTCACTGACTCCCTCGTTGTCCCGAGCTCTACAGTTTGCTTGTTTAGCTTGATTATAATGTTATCTCGATTCCAAATGGAGTTACGTATGAAAGAGTTACTGGACACGTGTCCCGATTGGTATGCACATTGTTTCCTTGAGCTTAAGTTATTAAGATAAGATGTTTGCTTTGTAAAATCGGAGGCCTGGCGATGAGAGTGGCGTGCACGCGGTGCTTGTCGCATTGTGTGTGGTTGACAAAGGTCGTTTCTTGGAGCTTGTCACCCACTTTTCACCGAAGCGGGGCGCAGAGGCCAGCTCTTGGAGCATTCCAGTTTGACCAGGCCCTTCGAGAAAGCAAGAGCCTTGCCGGAACGTCGCCGACATCGACCCGGCCGAGCTGCATGGAACAACTCGACCTCCCGATGTATCATCTGGCGGCGGGGGTGCTGTTGTGCCTCGCCCAAGTTCCACGTGGTCTTCGCGGCCTGCTGGCACCTGGCAGCTGTTGATGAGTCAACCCTGCACCGGGACGGCGACGGACGCGGACAATCTGGAAAAACCACGTCGCCGGCTCCTCTTGACACAAAAGTCGTTGGCCAAGCTTTTGTCAGCCGCCGAGAGCAACACTCCGAAGCAGCGTCGACCCAGCAGCTGTACGGGGTATTCTGCCTTGCTTGAGTCAACCTGGCTGCATCAGGGAGCGACTTTGCGCATGGGATTCCACGTCATCTCGCTGTGGTGCCACGCTGCCGCGTGGGGTCTCCCTCACCAAACAGCGAACTGGGCATATCTTGCCCCTTTCCTAGGTTCAGAGGGAGGCGGTGTTTGGCTTTCCCTCTTCGGGGACGGAGAGGAAGACGACGATCTCATTGGAGTATCCTGCGCATAAATTTTCTTTGCAAGGGATCTTGGGAAGGCGGACGATGTATAAAAACGCTAGCGCAGAGGCGCTCGTGTGTGATTCTCTTTTCATGTTGTACCACGCTACCATGTAAATACTGTATATAAACATTTTTTTCTCCTTCTCCGGCTTCTCTACTCGTCCTCTCCGGGGACTCGGATGGCCCGAGTCCGCACCACGCTACCCAAAGGCGCAACAGCCCACGTCTTTGTGATGTGCCACACGTTTTTCACAACTAAAGGGTTGAACATTTTCTTTTTGTCCACCCTTTTGGGTATTTATCGCTCTGTTTTTTTTTTTTTGCAGGCTCTCTATGTGAAGTATGAAGAGAAAGCGATATGCACAGCAATCACAACGCTTATGTTAAGCAAGGCGTCCAATGGATGTGGCCAAAGGAGACCCTGCAAAATTCGTGCACTCAATCTGTGCTGCTATCTCCAGAGCAAAAATTTCACCTTTGCTGAAGTGTGAGAAACTGAAGCAGCAGACAGCTCCAAGACATGATCTATGCAAGTTATGTTTAGAAAAGCTACAAGTAACAAAAAATAATAAAAAGTGTTGATGTACTTTTATTACACTATAACACTATATATCTGAATGAACAATCTAAAACTTCGTGAATTGGTGGCACTGCAGAAAGCCGATGAATGCTTGTTGAACTGTGGAAATATAAAAAGAAGCATATGATCTTACCATATGCATGACCGCTGCTTCTTTCCTTTGCCTCAAGAAAGTGCGTGGTACAGCTAAGCGGACTTAGGAGCCGACATCTCAGGACATAGCAGATGTTCAACATAGAAAATTTTCTTGCTTAAAACAAGTCACTCTAACTAAACTTCACTCAATAAATTTTCTTTGTATGCCCTTCCATATATGTACAAGCATGAAATTTTAATTTGAATGCGTCACCGAAGTGGCTAAATATAAAGTGTTTATTTAAATTATACTCTCAATGCCAAACAGTGTACAGAGGAAAGTAGTAAATACATTTACGTTACAAAATGTTGTACAAGACAGCTTGAAAAGATTAATGGTCTGAGTTGTTGGCGACTGAGCGGAGAAGGTGGCTCTATAGGCGATGTGTAAACTCGCAAAGACTCATGGGATGCACGCAGTCTGCACTGGCTTGCGTTTAAATAGCTCTCTGTCCATCTGCAGGGTCACTCCTTGGGTATCAGTGTGCTCGCTTTCTTGATGGCAACCCAACGTGTATGCTGTGAATTTCTAGCGCCTCTTAGCATAGCCGCACTTACGACTGACCACGAAAGGAAAGCATTTGCTGTCATTGCAAAATAATATTTTCATTTCAAGTGGTAAACAACGGACGCGTGCTATCACGATTCTGCACTTTTTCGGAATAATAAGTGGCGTGGCCTTGGTTGTCGCGTTTTTCAACTATTTTACACTTGCATATGCAGGTCATCCACTAACGCTCTTACTTTTACGCGTTTCCATCTGTGGGGGCGCTCAGCTGTTTTTGCATTCGTAGTTTCATCGCGGCTCATATCAATGTTCATTATGTGAAAGGGGTATCCTACATTAATAAAGCTATGCGTTCAGCGGCCTGGCAAACTGTTCAATTGTTCATTTGCGATGACCTCGACTATAATGCAGTGCTGACAAAGCTTTAAAAAGCAAAATATGCTGGCGGTAACTTTTTTAGCGAAGTCGAGCTTATTTGGCATTCACGTATTGCACAGCGTTGGTGAACAGGCTGGCCGAGACGACACTCACTTCATAGTCAAGCACCGTGCTTATTATGCGTAGTTACCTCTTCTGGTCAATGCGCCCCAGATCAGGTATGAATAAATTGACTACTAAAAAAGAAATGCTTGGAAGAACACTTGAAATTATCAGCAACATACTGTATAGCTGTTTTATAAGTATAGTATTTTCTTTTCTGCATAGTGCTACTGACATTTTCTTTTACTATAGTGCGAGGTCATCGCCGCCACAACCACTCACTGATTGCATATACATCGCTGCAGTTGATGTCATTGACAAACGCTGTGTCTATCGATTTTGCGGCGTCACCGTTAGCCTGTTGTGTGGCTGTTGGCTGCTGTGTCACGCTATTTCCGGTATCAGGGTCGGAGCTGGCTGCACGTTGCACAGCGGCCGTGCGTTTTAGTGTAAACGCCATATGCTTGTCGTAACTGCGTATTGTCGCGGGTTATAAATTACAGGGGGTTTATTTAAAAACACGGACAGTGGGAATTGTAGAGACGCTCTCAGAGAAGGCCGCTAAGATTGTCGTCTTCTTCACTCTGCTGCGCTGCGCCTCTCGAGCAAATCCGCGTTCTTAGTTGTCGTCGCTATCTCGCCGCTAAATGCAGCCATGCACGCGGCAGTATATAGTGATTGTGGTTGTGTTGATGAAACACATTTAAATGCCTTTCGTGCTTCCGTTTTGACGCCTCAGTTCCTTTTTTATCATGCCAAAATGTCGACATCTCATAGTCAATCTGTCGTGATTCTTTGCTGGGAGCGTCTGTACGTAAATACCAAATGTGTCAGACAAACAAAACCATCCATGCAGGATTTGGGACAACTATCACCCACCTGACGCCAGGCATTCAAAGGCTATACCAGTCACCGTGGCTGCCCCCTTATTGCTACAAAACCCACTTCAATTTTCAATCTTCATTCCAAGAGAATTGGAACATCTTTTTCTCTTTGGTGCTCGAACTTGAGCAACCGACAGCTGCACAACCAACCATGATTGCGCGAGCGATTAGATTTCAACACAATTGGAAAAAAAAATACGTGTCTACAGTTCCAAAAACGCGGCCAGGGAAACAGGGCGCCAAGGATATCTTGAACCGGAAGCCAATGCAGACGGCACCTCCCATGGGCTTTTGCGCGTTTACGTTTCACATATTCAGATGCTCTCTTCAGCATGAATGAATTGAAAAAAAAAGGTTGGTGTAGCAACTTGGCACTTTAACTTTGATGTTGCCATCTATTCGCATTCAGGCATAGCAAGTAGTGTGACACTCCCACTTGCACATTCTATGTTTACGCTCCTTATTCTTTAAATCTACTTGATCATCGACCTCCATGCTTCTTTGATTCAGTTACTAGCAACTATCCTGACGTGTGATGCTATTGTATATTTTATAAAATAAAATTTTAAAAAATGTCAGAATGAGCGCAAAACTGCTGTTTTGCTTTCACTAAAATGCATATCGAAACAGAAAGACGCACGCCAGTGAAGGGGATAAAAATCACCATTCCTTTTCTAGCAACCAGCAGCAGATCAGAACAATTCATGCAGTATCAATGAAAGAAGAGTATTTTAAGAACTTGTTTTTCTTAGTTAGATACATTATTAAGGAGCACAGGAAGTAATGGCAAGGAAAGTGTAGGAGATGTGATCTGTAGCAATTATCGGTGGCAGCAAGTTGTCTTTTTGCCAACTTCACACTTATATGATAATTACAACAAATAACATCCCCTGGGATGTTATTTGACATTAGCATCTATTCTCATTAATTCGAGCAGTATTGTATTGATGGTTTTTTTAAATCAATCTAGGTTATACCCACTATAGCAACATTAAACCGCTTTTGAAGACAGCAAAAAAAAATTCTTGCAATTATACTGAAAGAGGTCGGAATATTGCACTAAACCGATTGCCCACAATTTTTTAGACCAAGAAACTGATAGGTTTCCATATATTGTCATTGTGAATAAACAAACATGCCACCTTATTTTCCACCTGTTTAGTTGCGCATGCGCTAATTTATGAACTTGAAAAATAAAGAAAATGCAATGTGCGTCTGTTTTTCGAACCACCACGTTCATGTCTGCTCGAGATGCTACGTCTGCTGTCCGTCGAGTCTCAACAGTACAGCTGTGCTAAGAGTGTCGAAAACAGAAGCTGGTTTGCTTATGGGTGCACAGAGAATACATCGGTGGCGAAGGCCAGCACAGTAACGATAGCAGCCGGTGGGAGGCCGCAGTGGCGAAAGCCTTAGTGCTGAAAACAAGTTCGTGGAACTTCATTTTAGGACAGCGAAAAGACGAGTTACATGGAAGAAGACTGGACAATACGAGCGCTGTCTTCCATGTGTTTAGTCTTTGCGCTATTTTAAAATGAACACAAACCAACTAGCCCAACTGTTGCTTTTGCTGCAGTTTATGCAATCACGGGCCGCTCCAATGGCGGTACATTGAGAACTTTTCTTTCTGAGCGCAAAAAAAAAAACAAAATAGGCAAAGGGTGATCCTGCGTGCGAACGCACGCGATATCGTTTTTAAAATGCAGTCAGAAAGTTGTGCTAGTTCGCAGGAACCGATCAAGATGCGAGGACATGCGTCGAAGAACAGAAAAGGTACGTCGTATGGCTCTCTGAAGTCCGTGTTTGTGCAGCTCACGTTCTTCCACAGTAAAGACGTCGCTAATGCAGCGTGAAAGCAGCCAAGCGTCGTTCATAAAATGCAAGTACTGCGGTAGCCGTGAAAGCAATAGATATTCTCTTTAACACGGTGACCGCGCAAGTTCGTGCATGATGCAGCGGCATTTTGTTTACCTTCTGACGACCAGTAGGCGAAGTGTCGCACATCAAATATTAACGTTCCATGTTCATGGTGGTGCTAAATGTGATCGCCACGTATGTATCCACATAAATCTAACAATGTCACGTAGAACCATCGTAGAACAGCGCTAAAGCTTGTACTTTGTTTGCACGACTTGTAGCCAAAAAGGTAAACAGGAAGTCGCCATAACACTTGCTACAAGAAGGTGACGCTTTGCGCAGTCAAGAAACGAAACCAAAATCGCGATTTTATAAGCATCTTTGATTAGTCTGTCGTTCGCGGGCGCCTAGCATAAACGCACAAAACACTTTTTCTGCGAGGGAACTAAATTTATTACAGGGTAACATACTCGCTGAAGGTCCTGAGCTGAGCTGAAGGTGTGGAAGGAAGAGATCTTAGCCTCGAAACTTTTCACCTCTGCTGAGGTGTCATAACATTTCGATCAGCCGTAAATTAATAAATAAATAAAAAGATCGTGTGATTATGTGACGCCATGATGGCTGTTGGGCAGTTGGGATTCGACGCGAAGTTCAAAGGTTTGCTTTGGAACCTTTTTTTCTTTTCATTAATGAACTTGTGATTGCAAACACAAATAAAAGGCTCCACTCAGATAATTTACCCTCTTGTGAACCCTTAGCTGTTCTGCACAGTTTCCTTACACAGAACTCTCTAAGCCACTTCTTGTCTGGTGGTCAACTTATCACTTGACATGATACTTCAATTTAGTTTCAGCTGTTGATGCTAGTGATCATATGAGAAGTGTCACTCTGATGCCTGAGCCCTCTTACTGCGAGCTATATGAAAAGTGCAGGAAGCAAACCAGGAAATTGACTGGTAAATACTTAGAAAACAGCAGGTGGCCAAACCAAAAAGAACTATCGGTTAAGAAGAAAGTGAAGGAAACGGAGACTGACATGTGGAGAATAGGCATGATTAAGAAGTCCGCACTAGAGATCTATCAAACTTTTAAGCAAAAAAATTGCCAAAGAAAAGATCTATGATAATACTCGGGGTAGTTTTCTACTGTTTGAGGCCAGGACGGGAGTATTGCGAACCAAGACATATCGGGCCAAATACGAAGGGGTAGACATGGTATGCAGTGCATGTGGACAGGAGGAGGAAACTGCCGAAAAACTTGATAATGTTCTGCA